CAAGAAGCCCTGGAGCAGGGGGAGGATTGAGTCACTGCTTAGGGCAGCCTCCGCTGAGGCCCTGGGGTTTAGTGTGGTTGGCAGGGGAGCGAGGGGTGGGCAGCCTTCGTATTCAAGGAGCTCCGGCCAGTCTTAGGGGTTGGGGAGCCCTCGTTAGCCCTGTAAATAAAGTTTAACGAGGTGAACAATGGCTGGCTCTGTCCCTGAGGACGCCGTTTATGGGGCTGTAAATCACAGCCGCCTGGACTTTGGTCTGGTCCCTGGTAGAAGGAGGCAGGAGGGCGGGGTGACCAGAGGCCCAGGGCTTCTGCATTATCAGTCCAGAGCTGGGCTCCCCAAGCAGTGGGAGAGACGGTGACCCGGAGGTCTGCCACGGAGCCAAGCCTGCTTCCCGGCTGAGCAGATTTCAGAAGCTCTTTCTGTGTAATGGGGAGATCTCAGGTTCTTCCCCCAGCCTCCTCCCCAAACACTCCAGTTGTGGATTCCCACATGGTAATTTTTGTGTTTTACACTCATTTGCATGCCGCTTAACTTCAGAAATCCCTGACTGCCCCTGTACCTGAGGGGCTTGCCTAACCTCTCTCCCCAAGACCAGGAGGAAGGCCACCCTAGGCCTTGTGCATCAGAATCTGCACTTTAACCAGATTCCCTGAAATTGATATGCACAGGGACGTTTGAGAAGCCCGCTCTCAATCAATGTCCAAAAGGTTCTGACTTCAGCAACCAGCCTGGACAGCCAGTGACTCTGGGTGCGCATTTATCTCACACATGTGCCCGTCACCGTGTGCTACCTGAGCCAGCTGCCTGTTCTTGGATTTGGGGGACGTGTGTCTCCCCAAAACGAAATCTGAGCTTGCCTTTACAGAGGAGTCAGCCCCGTTTCAGAGTGCTGGCTACATTCATCTCCATGCTACGGGGACTGGGCTGGATTTCAGCCTTCTCCTAGGAAGTGAATCTTCCTGTCCTTTTCAGAAAGCGACCAAGCCCTCACGCACACAAAGTTCTCATTTGCGCTCCATCCCCAACCCACAGAGTACCAGCGCCTGCCAGACAGCACCATCCCCCAGGAGGACTACCGCTGCTGGCCATCCTACCACCACGGAAGCTGCCTCCTCTCCGTGTTCAACCTGGCTGAGGCTGTGGACGTCTGTGAGAGCCATGCCCAGTGCCGGGCCTTTGTGGTCACCAACCAGACCACCTGGACAGGTGAGCCAGCGGGAAAGGACATGAGGGATGTGACTAGACTTCCCAGAAGAGGTTGATAGGTAATGTTTCCCCATCAGCAGCCAGAGATGATGAGAAGACAAGAAGGCTGAGATGATAAGAGACAAGTACAGTGGGGCCTTGACTTACGAGTTTAATTCGAGACCGAGCTTGTTAAGGAGCTCGTTAAGGAGCTCATTAAAGAGCTCTTAACTCAAATTACTCTGTCAACTCAGTGCAAAAAATCGGCTGAGAGACAGCTGGTATCTCAAAAAACTCGTTAGTCGGGACACTCTAAAGGCCCCACTGTATATGTGTCCTCAAGGCCAGTCACATCAGGGAGAGTGGCCCTGCCTCCAGGGAGAGAAACATCCAGACCAATTTACCTCTCGCCTCTGCCCCCAGGTCGGCAGCTGGTCTTTTTCAAGACGGGATGGAGCCACGTAGTCCCTGATCTCAACAAGACCACATATGTGAAGGCCTCTGGCTGACCTGTCTGAGGGCTCAGCTGACCATCCCCGCCCGCTGGGCTTGCCTGCGAAGGGAGTGACTTGCACTGGCAGCATTGCATGTCACCCGGAACCGCTACAGACAAGGCTGACATCCCAGACAGACGAAGGTGACCAGGACAATGTGCAATAATGCCAAATGTTAAAATGTGAGTTTACCAGTCTAGGTATGGGACTGCTGGCTCCAGGGCTAGAAACCCTGGGGGGCTGGCGGCCTCTGCAACCCTCTGGGCTGCCAGCAAGGCTCAGGCTGGTCTCCCCTTGGGGGCTCTGCCCCTCACTGGGACAATTCCGTGGGCAGCCCCATCACTGTGTTCATAGTGTGAGAATGTAGCCAAAGCCCCGGCTGCTGCTGCTGCTGCTGTTGCTACAGGTGCCATGGCCTAGCGGGCGCTGCGTGGGGACAGTCGGTCACAGAGTGTTCTCTCCGCTGAGCTCCAGACAGGAGACTTGACGGGATGCTCCAGGAAGTCAGTGATCCTGTACTGGGGAGGCCACCTCTGGCCACCCGACTGGGGTTTCTCCTGGGCCAGCCCAGGGACAGGGGCAGAGGAGCACACATGGTATGAGCCAAGACGTGGGGTCGAGGAGCAGGTTGCGGTTTGAGCCAGGACCTGGAGTGGGGGTGGGGCCAGGGCCTTTCTGCCTCATTTGCTTTCAGTGAAAGCCGAAAAACAGCCAAAAACAGCCTCTCCCTCCTCCTGGAGTTTGTATATCCAGAAGCTTTTGTACTTCTTGTTCATTAAAATGTTTATTTTTGTAAAAAAAAAATCAATCAATTAATAAAATGACATTTCACACGGTAAGGCCTCTCCCCAAGTCGCAGTTTCTTGGGCTGACTTACTAGTCCTCAGTGATGTCTTCGGTGTGTTTGCGGGGAGGGGTAACGTGCATGAGGGATGACCTTTGAGGGAGTGAAATCCCCATGGCAAACCCTGAAGTGGGCAAAATGTGTTTTCAGGCCCTGCTCTTACGGTGCCCACCTCCCTACCTGGCCATCCACATCTGTATCCGGACAAAGGACATGAGAGACTCCTTCCCCTAAGGAGGTTCGTTCACATTTTAACACACATCAGCTCCTCATATGCAGAGCCTGCCCCAAAGGAGTGATGTCCAAATGGTGGGATGTCAACCATCTCAGGGAACCCCAAGCAGCCTCCGGTCAGGTCAGCCTTGCCTGCGTACAGGCTTGGGCCTGGCCATCACCACCACTGCCTTCCACAAGGTAATGGACACTTTTCAGAGAGTTTTTCTCTGACATTTTAACATACATCAGCTCCTCATATGCAGAGCCTGCCCCAAAGGAGTGATGTCCAAATGGTGGGATGTCAACCATCTCAGGGAACCCCAAGCAGCCTCCGGTCAGGTCAGCCTTGCCTGCGTACAGGCTTGGGCCTGGCCATCACCACCACTGCCTTCCACAAGGTAATGGACACTTTTCAGAGAGTTTTTCTCTGAGCAAGAAATATAGGGAAAGTAAAGAGAAAGGAAGGCCTAGGAAAAGACTAGCCCCAGCTTCTTGGTTTTAGGAGGGACAGTGTAGCAGAAAGTCCAAGTGTATGGAAGCCCAGAGCAAAAAGATGACTAAGGGTTCAAGATCACACTGCGGCCAACGAGAGCCCCAACATGGATGCAAGTCTTCCAACCTGAAATCCTACCTCTTCTGCCTCTAGAACATTCTTAAAGTGCACAAACCTTTGAGAGTTTTAGAAAGAATAACCAAACTTTAATAACTTAATTTCTTCTCAACAGATGTAGTTGGTGTAATTTCTCAAATGCAAAATGTCCTTGTAGCCCTGGCTGGTTTGGCTCAGTGGATAGAGCATTGGACTGCGGACTGGAAGGTCCTGGGTTCAATTCCGGTCAAGGGCACATGCTCGAGTTGCGGGCTCAATCCCCAGTAGGGGGCACGCAGGAGGCAGCCAATCAATGATTCTCTCTCATCATTGATGTTTCTCTCTCTCCCTCTCCCCTCCCCCCCCCCCGAAATCAATTTTTTTTAAATGTCCTTGTAGTCCTAAGTGATGGAGGAGCTGCTGTTAGCTCTGGAGTCCTCATCATGGACGTCACTTGGACCCTCAAGTTGAACCTCACCACCACTATGCCTGACCCACACCCCCACATCTTGCCTCTGGCTACTTGGGCTTGGTGATTGTGGTTGGGGGCGGGAAGTCAGAGCCTCCACAGACCCTCACACCATGACTCAGCCAGGTCAGATCCTGCCATGCTCACCACCCTCAGTCGCCACCTCTCCAAGGAGGCCTCGGCTTTCCTCAGCCCCCAGACCTCTTTCCTCAGCTGAATTCATGCACAACACGTGTAGCCTGCCCCGGGCCCTCTGCTTTTCTCCAACTGCCAAGCAGTCAGTGGGGCTCTGAGAGCAGGAGGAAACATGGCACACACTGGGCCTCAGGCGATGCCGCGGGGAAGAGGTAGGAAGGGCTGTGGGGTCTGAGCATGCTAAGGGAAACGAGAACTGGTTACAGTCAGCAGAGAGGGTCACAGGGCTCAGGGACTGTGGGACCCCATGAGAAAAGAGAAAGCTGAAGATGAACCCAGCACTGCCTTCTGAGATTCTAGAAGTTTCCAGACAACGGGTTCACTGGCCGTCTCTGGCCTCCATGAGGAATGGTTATCATTCTGATTTTACATTCCTGAAAACTGAAGCCCAGGTCACAGCTGAGCATTAAAATCCAGCCCTAACTTCCAAGCCTGTCCCTGGGGGGGGGGGGATTGTGGCACGAGGAACCTAAGTTAGAGTTAGGGAGCCCCTGATTACTTAGAGTGTGTGACAAACTAAAATGGAGGGCCCTGGCCTGTTTGCTCGAGCAGTGGTTAGAGCGCCGGCCTGCAGACCAAAGGGTCACCAGTTCAATTCCCGTTCAGGTTCCTCAGCCCCGGTAGAGGTAGGGGTTCCTGCGGGAGGCAGCCAGTGCGTGAATGTTTCTCTCTCTCTCTCCCACTCCACCCTCCTTCCCACTCTCTCTGGAAATCAATGGAAAAAATATCCTCAGGTGAGTATTGAAAAAAATAAAAATGGAGGTGCAAAGCACAAAACACCTTTTTAGAAAGATGCACCCACAGGAGGCTGAAGGGATGGTGCATAGCTCCTTCCTCCAGGAAAGAGTCTTGCCTCAGAACCGAGGGCAGCATTGGCCTGGGTCAGTCCTGCAGAGTAGAGAGAAGGACATTTGCAGCTGGGAATGAAGGGGATAGTGAGTGAAAGCCTGAGGCTAAATAATTACCCCCCCCCCAAGATGGCCATTTACATGAAACCACCTGTCCAATTCCTGGGTACCTTGTCCCCTTCCTGTGGGAGCCAAACCATCCCCCTGTCCCCAAAGTCCAGGTCCTTTCCACTCCACTGCACTGCCATACCCAGGTGTAGTGCGCGGAAGTAACATATTCACCCAACTGAAGCCTCAGGTGATGGTGCCAGGGGAGGGAAGCCGGAGGTGGGTCCTTTCCAGGGCTGCACACGAGAGGCCACGTTGCTACTGGTCCCCCACGAGACTCTGGAGGAATTCTGGCCAGTCCTGCTTTTTGCTCACTGTGTGATCTGGGCTGTAGCAAATCCCCGAGCCTCCATGTCCTCGTCTGCAAATTTGAGATTAATAGTATCTGTTTCACAGGAGTGTTCCAGTAATTGAATGAAATCATGATGCAAAGGTCTTAGCCAGTGTCCACAAACAGTGAGTGCTTAGGAAATACTGGCTGGCACTGTCCTTGTTCTTGTTACGAGTGAGCTGTGCCCTTAACATCCATCCACCTCCTGGCCTGGAAGAGGACCCAGGTTGGCTGAGGAGAACCGAAGCACAGCCAGACCGACCCCAGACCCCACCTCTCGCCGGCCCAGCAGGGAACACTGCCACCGCCTGGAGGAGGTGGAGTCCAGCTCTCCGGGTCAGTGCCCTGGGAGTGGAGTGCGTGGCAGACAGAAGGGGGAAGAGGATTAACATGAAAGCAGAAAATGGGATTAGGAGGCCTCAGGATAATGTGCTCACCCACCCCCCAGCCATGACAACGGCTTCTTGCTTTCACTTTATGGCTTCTGAGTTCGGAGCAGAGCATGTAAGGCTGGGTCTCCCCCTGCTCCCAGGGGCAGAGCCGGGAAGAGGCGTGGTAGACTCAGAGCATGAGACTACTCAGGCTGCTAGGAAGAGGGGCGGGGATGCCACACTTTCTCGTTTAATCCTCATGGCAGCAGGGTGAGAGGGGTGAGAGCCCAGAGAGGTGAGGAGCCAGGATTCAAGCCGAGGCGATTGCCTCTCAAAGCCTGTGTTCCTTCCGCTCTAGCCACTGTCTCACGCAGGAGCACAGTGTCCCCCTCGGCCCAGAAGACCAATGACCCACTCAAGCCTGCCCCTTCCCTTGGGAAGGATTGGGACTCGCAGCCTGCCTTTGACAGGAAGCCCAAAGGGCAATTAAAGGAGACCGGCCTGCCTCTCCAGCATCATCCTATAAGGGTGAGGGTGTCCTGAGAGCCTGACCTTTTTTAAAAAAATATGTTTTCATCATCCTGCTTTTGTTTTTGTTTTTTAGAGAGAGAGGAAGGGAAAGAGAGAGAGATAGAAGCATTGATCAGTTGCCTCCTGCAGGTCCCATACTGAGGAACGAGCCCGCAAGCTGGGCATGTGTCCTAACCTAGAATTGAACCAGTGACCTCTTGGTGCATGGGTCAATGCTCAACCACTGAGCCACACTGGTCAGCAAGCCTGACCTTTATTAAAGGGTCCCTTTGAGGTCTGTCGTGCAGGACTTTTTTATTTCCCCTGTTCATCTCTCTGCGACTCCAGGCTGCCCCCTTGGATGGAAAAAGCACTTCATCCGCCCAACTATGAAGAGCTCCACAGGAGATGGGTGTTGGGGGAGGGGGGAGAGGGCAATGAGAGTACATGTCTTCTGGCTCCCTCCTTGTGAGATCACCCTGTCTGGCTGTGTCCTTTGGCATTTGACTCCTTCTGAGTTTTGGGCAAACCTACCTTGAAGCCCGAGGGAGCTGGATGTGAGGTCTGTAATTGTCAGGCCACCAAGACAGAGAGCAGGGGAAGAAGAGGAGAGACCCAGCACACCACCCCACTTCTCATTTGAGCTTGAGGGGAAGGCAAGAGAAGAATTTCCATTTTTGTGCCCAGTTTCATTCTTAGCTGTTCAGCTACTTGTTCTGTTTGAATGAAGGACCACATTGGGTCCAAACTTTCAGGGAGTCCTCTACAGCAACGGTTGCCAACCATTGGTCCGCGGACCACTGATGGTCCATGAGGTCCGAAAGTTTGGCGACCGCTGCTCTACAGCAGACATTCTCATTCGGGGCATGGTCATCCCCAAGGAGACAAAACTTGGTTCTTGGGAGATGAAACGTTTTGGCAATCACAATGGTTTCTGGCCCTCCCAAGGGCCGCAGTACATAAACAGGTGGTCAGTGTGTCCGTGCTATTAAAATCACATGAAGGTGGCAGCAATTGGGAAGAAAAAAAAATCCACAATAGTACTTGGCAGGGGACGGGGCAACAGTGAAAAACAGAAGCACTGGATTATAGTGACTCATAACTCTTTCTTGGGCTGTCACTGAGAGCTTTGAACCTGTCACCCTCAAAAATGCGGGTTCTACAATAATTTTCTGAACTAGTCCCCTAAGATATGCATGTTTCGAAGCACTCTCTGAGCCGTTCATAATAAAAACAAAATGCAATTGGAATTATTTTTCACTTAGTGCTTTACTCCATTACCCTAGCCCAGCGGTCGGCAAACCGTGGCTCGTGAGCCACATGCGGCTCTTTGGCCCCGTGGCATGGGCCACGAAGTT